GCCCCCGGGCTGGATGCCCCCGGCAGCCCCTGCTCACGGACCCGCTGGAAAGAACCCACGGAGCAGAGACAGAGCTTGTGGCCGCGGTCGCGTTCGCCCGGCTGCTGCTGGGAGAATTATCTGAGCAGTCACAAAGCTTCACAGAGAGAACAGACAGCGTACCTATTAAAAATTAGATCCGCCTTGTCTCAAAAATCCACAAGTGTCACGCAGCACACGTGCTGAATGGGGAAGAGGTATTGCATTTGTACTCGTTCAGCCGTGACGCAGACAGGCTGCAAGTCGCCGACTTGCTTTGGCTTTTTGCACCCCTGTCCCTTGTCTGACTTAAACCACGAAGCCAACGGCCCTTCAGCCCTCATCACCGTTACCGAACTGTACCGCCGCAGCGCCCGGGCACCCAGACCGAGGGCACGGCTCTGTTATTTCGGAACAGATGAGTTTTGAAACCAGACCTTCTCTCTGGATTTTTGTGCCTACAAAAAACTGTTTCAGAAACTAGAGAAGGGAGAGTTTTGAGAGCACCGAAGAGTGGGAATGAGGGCTTCCCAGTGCTGCGGCGCGTTGACTGAAGAGAGTCCTGTTATCAAAATAATTCAGGTGGACGCAAGCTACGGTGCGCGCCCTCCAAACTAGGTGGCTGGGAGTTTCAGCACGCCTGAACCAACCTCTCCTGCTGCCTGGTGGGGCCCACAGTCCCACACTCACATTGCCCTCGTGACATGCAGACCTGGACTCGCTCGTACCGGACCGACTCGGAGCACGGTTGGACCTGGTTTGCATCTGGCCGGGCCTATCCACGACATACGTGCCCCGAAGGAAGGGGATGGTGACTGATGAAAGGGGGCCAAAAAAGCCCATGCTGCCAAAGACTTTCCTGGAACCCCTTGTAGGCAGAGGCCTGGAAACACCAGAGATTGCTGTGTGACCGGGTCACAAGACATTAGAGATAAATAAAACTGAACTGATTGTACGAAAGCTATTTTTGCAAAATGAAATCTGCTTCAGAAAGCTGGGACTTGAGTTGCTGCTTGTTTCTTGGCAGCAGAACACTAACGCCTGTGATGTGCTGCCACTCATTTCTGGCACGCACTAAGTAAGTGGTTTATAATCTGCTCTCGTACGTAATCAGTTTCAAGTTGTTTCTATAGATGCTGAATGTAAAATATTTGGATCAAACAGATTGTATTATCTTACATAACTTGTTCTCTTTCATATATTCAATGACACATTTATCTTCTTTTTTTCCCTTTCCTTTTTTTTCCTTCCCTCCCCTCTCCCAATTGTATCAATTGATCCTGTGATTGGGAGCTTATTACAGCTATGGATTGTACTTTGGAACAGAGCTTCTAAACATAGAGGCAGCCCATCAGTGGAACAAATGACTGGTGGGTGGCGTTCAGGCGGAGCAGCATATGCATTCTTTCTCATTTGGTTTGCCCTAAGGAAAGCTTTCACGCATCCTGCAATGTATTTTCCCTCCGTCTCCGCACCCGTGCTCATTTCCTCTTTGTCACCTATATTTGTTATAGCATTCTATATATTCCGGCCCAAATTTCGTCCCTACTTAGTTTGTACCTGTCCTTCCTTAGCACAACTTTCCCTGGGCTTCACTGGAAGTTTGCTTGCAAAAGAATTAAGAGCTTGTGGATTTGATTCTTTCGGTAAAGTGTGCCTGCCTTGTTTTCCCTGTATATACTGATTTGACTGGGAATAATTCCTTTCATGCTACTTACCAGGTTCTCCAGTCTTCCTGTCATAGTTAAGTGAGCATCTCGCAGTCCAGGATGGCTTTATTGAAAGGCCCATGAGAAATCATGGCATGACCTTACCCTCCTGTTAAATATAAGTGAGCTGTGACCCGTCTAAGTGTGATGTCTTGTCAAAGGTCACATGGAAACGTAGCAACAGCCAAACATGGAAAAAACTACACTTAATCCTAGTCCTTTCCCGTGGACACAAGAGGTGTTGTGCAAATGCTGCATTTGCCTATCGATACTTTTTTTTGATGGGAGGCATATTGTGTTATTTAGGTCTAAAATACCTGTTACCGCAGTGCCGCTTCCTTTGCGAATGCAAAATCTGCCTCCACATAGTATCTCACCTAAATACTAGATGTTAATTTCAGATCTCCTTTATGACAAATACTAATTTTTTCATCAATACAGTCACCCCTTTCCCCCACTTCAAATCACGCTAACAGTCTTTTACATTTTCCTTTCCAGAGAGAAAATCAAGAAAGGTCTTAAGGACTTGGAGGAGGTAAAACCAGCAGGTGACACATACATACATGAAGGATTAAAACAGGTGGGTTTTACTCATATTCTTGTCATCAAATATCCTCTGTTCTCACCCTTTGGATAAAACCAACAACAACCTGTAACATAAATGGATTGGTCATATCCCTGAGTGTGTCACACTAGAATCTTTTTTATTCCCTAAGCGGTCCCAGGATTGCCCAGATACCATGCAAATCCTATGGAGAAGCTTGGCCATAATAGAAAATTTCCATACAGGATTGTCTCACTTGATCCTTTGCAGAAGAGAGTGGTTCTTTGTTGTGAATTTAGCAGCTAAGGCAGCAAACGGATGACATGGGCACAGTCGCACGCCGCTCGGTACGGCTGCGAGCGTACAAGGCACTGGCCTTCTAGAGCACGTGCCTGCGGAGAGTTTACTGCGCACATCAGCAGTTTCAAGACAGTTGGTCTTAGTTTTGGACTAACTGAATTAGGGCGTTCCCAGCTGCTAATATTTTCTTGAGACGTGCAGTGAAGGTGTACTGGGTGATTATGCTGAAAGACTCGGGCCCCGAAGGTGAGGATCTAAACTTTCACTGGTACGGACGGAAACTCAGTTTCCTTCTTGATGCCTGTGGAGCCGAGTTTGTAATTGTGATCTGTGGGCTGAGAAGCTAAGCAAACAGAAGTGTCTTGCTGTTTTAAAAAAACATTTAGTTTTAAGACATTCTTATTATATCTTGGAGCCTGCTGACTGGCATTTGGAACCTGTGAGCTTCACAACTCAGTATCTGTCCTGAAAAGATCAAGTGGTTCTGAGGGCTGATCAGTTAGCGACCCCAGTGCTTCGGAGACGGGCCCACGGGTGACTGGAAAATACTGGTGAATTATTTCCTTGTTACTAATGGCTTAAAGGGAGGCAGGATTGTCAGGAGAGATGGGTTTGAAGATCTATCTGAGCATTGTTTCAGTTGCTATATTCACTTAGAAGGTTCGTCTTGGTTAAAAGTTCAGGTGCAATTTTAAGCTGGATAAATATTTTTTTATTTCCAGGCCAACGTGCAAATTGCGAAGCAAGGAGCCGCAAGGTTTTCCAGTATCATCATCGCGTTGACAGATGGCAAGCTGGATGGTCAGATTCCCTTGTATGCAGAGAAAGAGGTGAGCGCTAAGTGAAAATTCATGTTATATGCTGAAGAGTTTGGGTGTTGCCTGTTGAATGAGAAAATGCTTATTGCTCTGTTCTGTTCTGGGGCAGGCAAAGAAATCCAGAGAGCTGGGAGCTAGAGTTTACTGCGTTGGCGTCCTCGATTTTGTACAAGAACAGGTAAGAAGGTTACGATTTTAGATTACTAGGCAGTAATCACAGGGTTTCATACAGTTAATGTTAAGTAATATAGAAATTAATTTCACTTACATTAGGCAGTAGAGTAACTTCTCTGGCTCAGGAGGCAGACACTCGATGTGTACACAGACATCAACAGAACGCGCGGGTGCCGCTTTCATCGCCCACAAGACCCGTCGGAAATGCCCGTGCTAGCTGGTAGCTGCCAGCAGGAAAGGACGCGGGCCAAACGCCTGTCATGAAGGTGGCAACCAGGTGCGGCTACAGGTCGCTTGAACAGAGTAGCTATAGGCAAGCTTCAAGCAGCGTGTGTAACAGCGCTGGGGTAAGAAAGAAAGAAGGATCCGTGTCCTTCACTGGCTGAAAGCTACTTCAGGGTCGCTATGTCCTAGCGAAGGCTGTAGCTACTCTTCTGCTGTTGAAAGTGACTGAAATGGAGGAGGGCACAAAAGACTTGCAACTTTAGAAGGCCTCTAGAAAGGCTTTTTAAGGGAAGGCAGAGCCAACGGCCAAGGTAATTCTGAAGAGAGTTACGAAATCACTGCCAAGACACAGGCCCTAAAAGGTTCCTTCAGCTTGGTGGTTTGTCACGATGGCGAGCCACAGTGCCATTTTGTTAGCTGCAGTAGGTGGTAGTAAATCCTCCCGTTGACAATAGTCATAGTTAGGTGTGAGGAAACTCAAAGTTTTCCTTCTCTTTGCAGAGTTGATGGGCGTTCATTTTAGGCAGCCATTTACATTTTCAAGGTGAAAAGCAGCGTGACAAATTTAGTTTGCCAAACGATTCACGTGTTTGCATGCATTTTCTCTCCAAAGCTTGAAAAAATTGCTGACACGAAAGAGCAAGTTTTCCCTGTCACTGGAGGATTCCAAGCGCTTAAGGGGATAATCAATTCTGTGAGTATCAAGCAATAAGCTTAACATTTCTTCAAGATTACAGCATACTGTCCACTCCCACTTGCTTTTCCAGGCAGAATTGGTTCCTAAATCAGTAATTGCAATGTGTTGAGTTCTGTCGTCCTTATCTTAGAGATGCATTCTGTAAAGCAGCGTTGCTTGCCTCTCCTGCAGTTATTCATGCTCAGACTTTGTGTGGAGTTTGAAAACTCCGTACAAGTGCAGCGAGTTTGACGGGGATGCATTGAGGAATGGCTGCTATAGGGTTAATCTGAAAAAAATCGAGACTGCTACTCCAGGAGACTTGAGAACAACTGGTTCATATCATTAGGAATGAGGGCAATTTAGGAATTGCCCAAATATTCGTGTACCAAGAAGCATTCTAAGTATATACTTTAGCCTTGACTTTAACTGCTTGTTTTCCGAGTAAGCGATAAGACTTTCAGTTCCTCTTTCCAGCGTGGCATGAGAAACTCCTGTGAGACATGAGGCCGTCCAAATGGTTCATCTGATTCGCAAGAAGAGATGAACAGAAGATGAATGTTTTGGTTGCTCTCAGTGGCTTGACAGTGTTTTAGCCATGTGTCAAGACGACACCTTCAGTTGTGGGAACCTAATTTATTTGTCTCATCTTAAACTAAAGGCTGTGTGTTTTATGCAAGGCTAACAATGCTGTTGCTGCTGCATGTAGGCAGTGCAGTGGAAAAAAGCTTACTGTCCAAAGTCAAGTCAAAAGCAATAATGAAATCCTTCTTCTGAGAGAGATCTCATTGTAATTCATTTCCCGTTCCTTCTTTTTTTTTAATAAGGAAAGGACACTACTCACAGGCAGGATATTATAGAGTTGTAAATTTATCACTTCCCTTGAATAGTGTGTTTTTTGTGCAAGTTCATGTTGTAATGAGACAACTCATTTTCCTTCTTGTTGCTTAAAATAAACGTAATTAGAGAATCTTCCTTGCACGTTCTAAAGAGATGCAATCAACCTTTCCATGCAGTGACGTTTTCCTGAAAAGATGCTACACCCCATGATGTACTGCTTTTTAAAAATCTCTGTGGCCTTTTTAAGACTTACAAGAATAATTTATTCTACTAGTGCAAAGCGATGCCACATCGAAGCCACTAACGACAGACGTATTTCTAAGAGTCGAACGTTTAACCCCAGGCGATCACATAAACTTTCCAAGGACCTCACATTTCAGAACGCGTTTATCGAGATAAAACTGAGTAAAAGACTAAAGACGTTTGCGTTGAGAGTTTCCCCTCCAACGAGGGTCACTGACCTGCAGAGCCGACCCGTTCAAGCGGTCAGGTTTCTCCACTCTTCTTGCTCTTCGGAGAAGCAGCAGGGATGCGAATGGCTTGAGATTTCTGAGGAGCTCAGCTTGAGGAGTCTGTAATTGAAACATGTGGAAGATTGGCTTAACCTGCAGGTTGTCCCATTATCCCCCATTTTCAGCTAAGGTATTTTTGGGCAGTCCCTAGCTAGTAGCAGTGCCAGTACACCTTTTTGATACCTCCCAGAAGCTTTAAAGCATCTTCACTTCTTTTGTGAATGGAAGGAGGGAAGGTTTTCTGATAAGATTTGGCAGGTGGTGTTTGCACAAGCCTCGATCCAGCTTCTTCTAGCACTTGTGAAAAACCCAAGCGTAAAAATCCCAGATTTGTCATATCCTAACTGTAGAGCAAGAAAAGACACAGGCAACGGCAGCACCTTGTTTTAAGGTAACAGCTTCACACCGATAGGGAGGGTACAGAAAAAGCCAACTTCAAGTACACTGTTGTACAGCTTAACTGCATCGTCTGCTCCTTTAAACGGTGACTCAACTCCTGAATTGTTTAAGGTTTTATTTAACAGACTGCAGCTGGCACAGGCGTTTCATCCCTTGGCTCGCTGCTTATTTCTGTCCATAAAGAGAATCTTATGTTACGGCTGTCAGAAAATGTTTCGCTGATAAATAAAGGAGTATGGGAAGGCCTTGCTGATAGCAAACGTATCCACTGGCTTCAGTGATAGCTGCATCAGTCTCATCTCTTGGCATAAAGGACCAAACAAAAACATGCAGTGCTAGTGCTATGATAGCTCCTCAGATCTTTCTGAAGCTGGAATATTGTTTAAAACTTTCTGTGAAGTTTCATTTTGCTGTCAAGGCATTTGAAACTCTCTTATTCTTTTCTCTAGTAAGCACATGAAAAGGATTTGTTTGGCGCACTGGGAGAATGATATCCTGCCGGTGTCCCTGTTTTACCACAGAGCAGGGATGGAGATATCCATAGATAGGGTCTTTGGGTTGGTTTGGTGGGCGTTTTTTTATTTTAAATGCAGGTGTGGTGACTGTATGAACAGGATTTTTTGGTAGGCTGTAGTTACAACTGAATTTTCTTTGAAGGGGTTTTGACAGTGACAATTCATTCTCATTGCATTGAAAAATGGATAGGTAGATATAATTGAACATGAAATAGTCACAGTTTTACTTACTCTTCGCAATTACAAATCCATTTCAGTTAGCTAGAGAATACGGGCTCGAAGAAACACCCTGGCGTAAAAGAGAGACTTTCAAAGCAGAGGAAAATGCAGTACCCATATCGAAAACACGCAGGAGCATTGCTCAGAGCGTGGTGTCAAAGGTGCAGTTGTGAAACCATCCGTGAGCATTGCCGAATACTTTGGGTTTAGAAAAAAATACACTGTTTACAGCAATGGCAGCAACCTGGCAATTAACCCTCGAGCAAAACCACAACACCTAACTGTTGGGTAGGAATGGTTGGAGTTGCTGCTCTAGGCCTCTACTCCATTTGTCTCTAAGACTCAGTTGTGAAATTTTTAGGCTGCCACGTTGTTACACTTGTAGCCAATTCCAGGAGAGCTGAGCATTTCATCTTGGTTTGTTCATGGGTAGAATAAAGTGATGAGCTTTTTCATACAGTACGTGTTAAAACCTGCTTCTGCGTTTGTTTGAAGTCTCAGCAATTATTCCAATTTTTTTTTCTTCGGTTACAGAAACACAATATTTTTAGTTGTGGCCAGGGATTAACCTTCAAGACAGTTGCGATGAGCATTTAGATAAAAACTTAGCTCAGGTATCAAAAAGCTTGCATTGCGTTTTGGCTTTCTTCCTTCCGATAAAATGCCGGTGAAGCGATTTAAGCACCACCGTGCTGCGTTGTGTTCCTGTTGAGTAACGTCAGCGCACAGTTCAAAACTGCGCAGACTTGGGTGAAGAGGCCAATGTGTTGTGAAGTTTCCAGCTCTTCCGGCATTGCTAATATCCAACTTTACGAGGTAGTAACTATACAGCACTGTCAGGGTAAATTAATCTAAGCAGAAGTCTAGAGCTTGAAAGAAAAACGCCGAGGGCAAGTTACTGCGCTATCAGAACAGTTTACTGATGTAGTTAGGCTGATAATTACGTGGGGTACGGCCTCGTGAGCAAGCCATAGCAGTGTGAACTGTAAGGGTTTGGCAGCACACAATTTATATCACCATGTGACAGTTGAAAGTACTGTATAAGAAAATTAAACCCTTTGTTCTTGTGTCATTTATGTTAAATACTGTTTTTTTTTTTACCCATTTGATAAAGAAGCATTTGCGAATTTATCATTTACAACGTTAGATCTGAGTCCGTCTGTCATAACCAAAATAGGACCTTCCTACCTGGCCTTGGAGGAGTGATGGTGAGGCTGCACATCTCTTGGTACCAGGGTGCTGAGCTGTAAGCAAGCTAACTCAAAATGTGCCTCACTTGCAGCTAACCAAGTCCGGTCTGGAACCAGCACTTTTATCGGGAAAAACTGTGGAAATTTGGGGCTTTTTAAAGAGCTCAGCCAGACTCCGAGTTTCCCTGAGGGATCAGTTTCTGCAAGGTGACTAGAGGCTGTGGGACTGACAGCCTTGAGAAAGCTGGACAATATCCCAGGCATCAGGTGAACGCTTTTCTGTGATGCAAAAACCAGTGCCAGACTCCCGGTCAAGGAGGGGAGCAGGAGATCTTTATTTTCATAGAAGCAGGAAATGCTGCCATTCGCACCGGTTTAACTGTTTGATCGCTAATGAAATGATGAATGGAGAAATAACAAGAAGCAGCAATCAAATTAAGGAGCTGGGAGCCAAGGTGCTGCTACCACTTCAATCAAACATGTAGAGTTCTTAGACAAGACAATGTCTTTCATAAGGCTCCAGTTTCTGGGATGTTCCCATAACGCTCCGCTGTAAATCGATAATGATGTTTTACTTTCAATTTTTCCCACAATTTTTCATGTTTTGCCTGCTTTTGCAGCACGTTTGTGTGCCTGTGGTTTGCACAACTCAGTAAATAGGAATTGCTTTTACGTGCCCACATTCTAAAAAACAAAACCAGTGAAAGATGCCTACGTCCCCTTTTGCTTAGGCACACGCAGGTCCTACCCATTTGTTAGAGTTGTCTGCTTGGCTTTGCAGGCAGAACTGGACAAGGCTCGTGCCTTCACAGGTTACATTGATGGAGCTCACTGGAGTGACATTGTTAGAGTGTGTGGCAGTTCTAAGCAGACTTAAGCATGTTTTTGTGCTAGAGTTGGCAGCACTTAATACAGGAAGTTAAAATATAGTTTGTACTTAAGAAACCCACAAAAACTTATCAGATAAGACTACGGGAACTGGTACATGTAGAACCTAAGAGGAAGTAGTTAGCTCAAAAAAAAGTTCAGTCTAGAATTATCTCCAATTTTGTTGCAAATTTCCTTAAGAACTCTGCCTGAGAAGGACGAGAGTATCTCTAATGTCAGTGTTCAGGGAGCCTGTGCTGTCTCAACTGCTTGTGTCCCAGTGGCCGAGTTGCAAGCAACTTGGTTAGTGCACAGTGATCAAGGACCACGTTATTTGGAAGTAGTCGATACTTCGTCCCTAAGCCAGCTCAGCCCACTAGCACTGAAATTCCTCCCTAGTCTACCTTGCTTGGAGCATGCTGAGCCTGCTCCCTGGTTTCTCCTTAAGTAATGTCCCTTGGCTGCACGTGAGGAGA